TGCGTGTGTGTGTATGTGTGTGTGTGCGCGTGTGCATGAGTGTGGGTATATGTGTGTATGTATGATAGTATGTGTGTGTGTATGTGTGTGTGTGCGTGTAAGTGTGTGTGTGTGTGTGAGTGTGTGTGTGTACGTAAGTCATGAGACACCTAATCAGTGTGCCAGAATATGAACAATGAAGGTTTTTCTCATCTTATCTTATCTTATCTTATCTTATCTTATCTTATCTTATCTTTATCTTTTCTTATCTATCTAACGCTTGAAGACTCACCATCTTGAAGTATAACTTCCTTATTTATGTAGATATGTCTACACTGATTTTTTTTTAACTTTTAAATATGACGCTTTAAAAAGGCCAGCAACAATATGCATGCCTGGAAATAATTATGTAAATTCGTGTTTCTGATTTGAGTGATATGGTTCAAAATGTGCCGCAACATTGACTTTGGTATGCTGTAGGACGTAATATTATGTTACATAGGATGAGTTAAATTATTTTAGTGTTCGTCGAACCAATTCGTCTAGCTCAGTGCGTCAGTGGGATGTTTATAGTCATAACGAGTTCTCTGAAATCTCAGCAAATCGATTTTTATCTATCATCAAACTATTTGTTTATTGCTTGTAAAAGTATGCATTTCGACTCAGTTTGGTCTTAATGGCTTGCAAATACATGTAGGTTTAATTGGAGCAACCGAATTCTTTTCAGATTGTGCCAAAAGGATTTAGGTTTTTGTAACAACACCCCCCCCCTCCCCCCCCAAAAAAATCCCATGCCAGCATGTAGATACATAGTAACAAACCAAAACTTTGCTCACCAACAGACAGACGACACAGCCACTCAAATCATGAAGAAAATGTAAAAGCAAACTTGAGGCCTCCATTCAGAATTCATATTGGCCTACTACGCATATCCGGGGCCTCAACTCTCATGCAGTTGGGTCACGTTTGGGTCGCTACGATGTCAAGTATCAAGGACGCACTTAACATATTTTCAGAATTGGGAGCGAGGGGTCAAAATTTGTTGTATATAATATATAGAATAATAATACATAACAACTTAAACTGACACAGCTATACTAGACTATGTGAGGACATGATCCTCATTGACACAATTTAGGTATTTCAGAATGCAGGCTCTCCCTCCCTCTCTCTCTCTCTCTCTCTCTCTCTCTCTCTCTCTCTCTATCTATTTATCTATCTATCTATCTATCTATTTCTTTCTCCCTCTCCCTGTCTCTCCTTTTCTCTGTCTGTATTTCATTTTCTTCCTTTCTCTCTCTCTCTTTCTTTCTTTCTTTCTCTCTCTCTCTCTTTAGTTTAGTTGACAGTGTTGGTGTCTCAATTATGATTACTGAACAGGGAAATGCGTTGAACCATTAGTGATCTTGGGTGAAGAATAAACATACGACAGAAGCGTTACGGAGATTATTGGACAATGGTAATGAACTGGCCTAATGTATGAGAGAAATGCTGCGGTTGGCAACTTCCTTCAAGTAATAGGAATTCCTTTGATCCTATTTATGAGAATGTGTTTATAGAACCGGGTAACTGTGGAGATGAGGGTACCGGACTCTGCCTTGGAATATTTGACGAAATGACACGGGACTACTTAATGACATACACTACAAGTTCACCTCCACCCCCACTCCCC